ATTATTGTACGGTTACCAATACTGACAAGAGACAAATATTGTCTTTTTTTTCTTTTCATAAAGCTCTAGAAATTTTTTCAGAATTTTTTAGTACCGTATTTTCTCATTTTGGTAAAAATAGTTGTTTGTAAGAAAATGCAGTATTATTATAAAAGGTTGATAAAAAATTCTGAAAAGATTTCTAGAGCTTTATGAGAAAAAAATAAACAATTTTTGTCTCTTGCTGTTTTTCTGTAAAGTTGGTAGTACTTGAGTAAAAAATGCTTGAAAACTAATATTTTAGTAATTAAAATCTTGTTAACTATTGCGAAAATTACAAAACGGTAAAGGACTCAATTCGACTCAGTTTAGTGCGCTCTTTCTTATTATTAACGAATGTTGTCGGTAGAATTATCAAATATCCTTTTAAAATACATATATTATTTATTTAAAACAAGTCATATTTATACATATGTAGGATTTTTCTATATGTATGTACATGCACCGGCAGAAATGGTGTCCCCTCGGCGTTCGGCGCGCGGCGCCACACACTTGTACCGAAGCACACGTACGTGTTACTGGGAGCGTGGAGGGGAGGAGCGCGAAGGGAGAAAGTAGTGGGGGGCGTTCCGATATTCTATCCTTAGCGCAAGGCGCACGATTAAGAGAGTAAGCGTAATTGGACGTGATGCCGACTCGCGGTGTCCTTTCGCTGTCTCACACATTTGTTACTAGTACGAGTGAGATACCCCGGTGTCTCTCGCTTGTCAATATTCATAATAATACTTTTATTACGCAAAATGTTGTAATTATGCACAAAAATTTTTAATATTGTAAAAAATTGTTGTGCATAATTACAACATTACGTGTAATTTTGAAACTCATTGTAATAGAACAAAGAAAATTTAATTTGGCTAAAAAGGAATCAGTGCAGTAAGAAGTGCGCAAAAATTTTTGTAAAAAGATATTTAATGAACCATAAGATGCGTAATTACATCATCGTCTGGACGTTTCCGCTATACGTTTTAGCTATCCTCAGTAACATCATGATACAGAATCTCCAAGTATCCATCAAGAAGTATAATTGTCGGCCAAAGAAGTTTCCATACTTTTTGGTAACGAAATTATATAATCTAAATATTAATAGAAATAATGTTTGAAAAAATCTTAAATAAATTAACGTAATTGACCAGTGATTTTTAGCCAAATTAAATTTTCTTTGTTCTATTACAATGAGTTTCAAAATTACACGTAATGTTGTAATTATGCACAATTTTTTACAATATTAAACATTTTTGTGCATAATTACAACATTTTGCATAATAAAATTATTACGAATATTGGCAAGCGAGAGACACCGGGGTATCTCACTCGTACTAGTAACAAATGTGTGAGACAGCGAAAGGACCGCGAGCCAGAATCACGTCCAATTACGCTTTCTCTCTCAATCGTGCGCTTTGCGCTAAGGATAGAATATCGGAGCGCCCCCCACTACTTTCTCCCTTCGCGCTCCTCGCCTCCGCGCTCCCATTAGCACGTACGTGTGTGCTTCGGTACGAAGCCCGCCCGCGCGTCGTGCGCTCGGTGGGCCGTACCTTCGGCAATAGTAGGTCGGGCGGACGCGCCTATTTGGCTATCTTTAAACGTTAATATCTCGTTAACTATTACTGACACTGCAAAATGGTACAGGACGGAGTGATCCCGATTGACCACGTCTCGATTGGACACCACCAATCACAGCGACCGGTGCTTAGGAGTTTTGTAGTCTCAATCGCTGTGAGTGGCTCGTGTCCAATTGAGCCGTGTCCAACTGGGTGCCACCCGTACAGAACTTTTCGACTCCATATAGTCTGTTCTAGAGACCCTCTGATCAGAGTCGCGACACGAGAACAGCCAATTTTGATTGGTTCGTCATTTTCAGCAATTCCCGCCAATATTCGAATGTCAATATTGGCTGCGTTCAGGAACGTCGCTCGGATGCCTCGGATTCATCATCTGTCCTTATTTAACATTTAATGTTAAACAAGGACGGATGATAAATCCGAGGCATCGGAGGCATCCGAGCGACATTTCCGAACGTAGCCATTGTAGGAATAGGCGATGTCGTATCGATACGTTAAAAATCGTTTGCAAACTAATCTATTTTGTAAAGAATCAATTGTTCCAACCAAAACAAGCATAGAATGACAGAAATAGCGTTAATAGTATCTCCCTGAATGCACATTTTTTCCAACATTTGTCGCCCATAATGCTCGACGTTCAACATCACGCGGAAATATTTTCATTATGTAGCCTTTGGCTGCAGAATTATTGCAAAATGGGGCTGCACACCCAACCATTTTGCAATAATTTTTAATAATGTTCTAAAAGTCGTACTATAGAAAGACGTATCTTACGGGATCATGACTCACACAAGAACTATGAAGGTTAGAAAGAGACACAACATATTCCTCTCTCTTTCTTGTGATTTTGCTGAAACTAGAGACTTTTAATATAAAGAGACCGTAAAAGAGTGTCTCTAGAGTCTCTGTTCCTCGTGTCGCGACTCTGATTAGAGGGTCTCTGTTCTACCCACGCACGAAACATTTGTCGGTAATTTCCAGACACCCTGTATAATATTTAATTTTCCGTTATAGATAACTGAAGATGACTTCATGGGAGGTTGAAACGTCTTGTGAGATTTGTATACGATGACGATATTTTATACTTTGTAATGATATTTAGGGCACATATTTGTAATTTATTATCTTAGATTAACAGAATTATAGCTTTAAATTCGCGTTTTAGTGTGGCCACGCGTTGTAATATAAGAGTGATGGATAATGTATATTTCAAAATTTGCCTTTAATACATATTATATTATATATCTATCGTTGGCTCGTAGCTTTTGTTATTTTGTAATTTTGGATTTGTTGAGCCTTTATTGCAGCAGTTGATTTAAAAAATAATAATGTAATATTTATAGGAAAATTAACAACACTGCAGTGTTTAATACCAAGTATGTAAATATGAAACCGGAATTTTTTAATAGAAAGTACACGTTTATTGCATGAAAATGATAAAAAATATTTTATTCGAAGTATTGCCCATCGCTAGCTATACATTTTTCCCATCTGTCTGACAATTTGTGGATACCACGCCAAAAAAATTGTTGCTCTTTTAAGCCAAACCAGTCATCTAGCCATTTTCGTACATCTTCGTAAGAAGTGAAGCGCTGCTGAGCAAGTGCGTGTCCCATCGATGCAAATAAGTAGTAATCGGACGGAGCCAAGTCTGGTGAGTAAGCCGCATGCGAAAGTATTTCCCAACCAAACGCTTCAATCGTTTCCTTGACCAGTTTTGCTGTGCGTGATGGTGCATTATCATGGAGCAAAATCACTTTGTGTTGTCTTTTTTGATATTCCGGTCGTTTTTCACGCAAAGCTTGATTCAAATTGATCATTTGTTGTCGGTAGCGTTCAGTATTAACGGTTTCGACAGGTTTTAGCAGCTCATAATAGATTACACCTTTCTGATCCCACCAAACACAGAGCATTGTCTTCCGTCCATAGCAATTTTGGCCTTACAGTCGATGTCGATAGTTCACCTGGAGTTACCCATGATCTTTTACGCTTAGGATTCTCAAAATATATCCACTTTTTATCGCCAGTCACAATTCGATGTAGAAATCACTTTCTTTTGTACCTGGCGAGCAGCATTTCGCAAGTGGTTTTTCGGTTTTCCTGCTGTCTTTCATTCAGTTCATGTGGAACCCATTTTCCCATCTTCTGGATCTTTCCCATGGATTTCAAACGTATGGAGACGGCTTCTCGTGTCACATTTAATTGATCCGCGAGTTGTTGTTGAGTTTGAGCGTCATCCTCATCCAACAATGCTTGCAATTCGCTGTCTTCAAACTTTTTCGGTGGTTTTCCACTTTCTTCGTTTCTCACGTCAAAATCGCCACTTTTGAATTTTTTAAACCACTCAAAGCATTGTGATTTACCAAGAGCATGCTCACCGTAAGCTTCGACAAGCATTCGATGCGATTCTGCAGCAGTTTTCTTCAAATGGTAACAGAAAATCAATGCTGTCTGCAAATCGTAGTTTCCAGGCACAAAATTCGACATGTTCAAGGCTATTACAAACTATACTGTTGTATGAAACTTGTATTGTTGTGAGTTGAAAATCTGTCAGATGTCAGAACAAGGAAATGGCATCAATGACGCGGTCTGACGGCAACTACATTGACAGTTATGGCCATCTATTGGTAAATTCCGGTTTCATATTTACATACCTGGTATATAAACTCGAGAAACAGTAAAGAAATCGAAAATACATACATTTTTATATATGAATATTAATATATAAATTTTTATTATTTCTTTAAGACACTACCGTGTCTCCAGATATTGAAAACAGAACAAAATGATGGAAATTAGTTTGCGGGTGCGTTCTAAAATCACTTAATTCATCAAAATCACACTATGACTGAACAAACTCGAAACACACTCTGAGGGTGCTTTCCAGCAAGGGACACAGTCAGACACAGTGTAACACAGTGAATCATATATCCTTGTTGTTTGCTTACGTTAAACAAGGATGAAACGATTCACTGTGTTACACTGTGTTTGATTGTGTCCTTGCTGGAAAGCACCCTGACTCTTCTCCCGAGCAGAGGCGAAGTGTGTCGATTGAGTTTGAACAAAATTGTAAATGGAAAGCAACGTGTGTCGATTTGTGTCGAGTGTGTCGACTGTGTCTCCTAAAAGACAAGCAGTCAATAAGAGAGAGGGACCGTGGGAGACGGCCAATCTCCCTCTCATTCTCTCTCCCATTACACCATTGAATGGAAAGAGATAGAAATGATCGTCTACCACAGTCCCTCTCTCTCATCCCTATCGACCATTTTGACACACGGATCGCGCAGTCCATTCACTAGAGGTCTGTTTTTTATTGCTGCACTGTGTGTACTAGTTCAGAAAGTGCGGCAATAAAAAACAGACCTTAGGTTTGTTCGCGTCGCAAGTTCCAAATTAACCCAGAGAGCACTTGGATTACCGGCAAGATGGCGGTTGGAGCAATTGGATTCATGTGCCCCAATGCTCGGCGACACGAACGGATTGGGACAACTTGGGACAAGCGTCCTGTTGTTCTATAGCTATACGAATAGTTTCACCGATCGTATGCAGGACGTAGGAATCAATTACTAGCCATTTGCATTATTACCTCTGAAATGGATTTCAGAAATTTTTTGAGAGATTTCCGTTTTGGAATTATTAATGAAATTAATGATAATTTCCTCGAAAATTTTTTACTTTTTGGTTATGATTTTATTGAGGAAGACGACGAAATAGAGAGTGAGTATTAACGAACAGGGTTAGAAAACGTTACTTTGACGTTTATTTACATAAACAATTTGATAATTAATAAATAATGTCTAATGATAACAAACATTGCTTCTCTCTACAGATTAGTTTTATTTTTAATTCATCTTTTGTAATCGATGCTTTGATTTTATATAATTTATTTGCAGATGTTGCTGTTAACGCAGTTGTTGAGTTAATAAACGGTTTGGCCCAAAGAAGGCAAAGAACGTGCATACCTGACTACGTCAAAAATATTATACCAGTGTATTCAGAGAAGGAATTTATTATGCATTATAGGTTAAAGCGAATGCTTGTAACGGACATAATTGACAAATTTAATCAGTGGCTACATTTTAGAAATCTGGGAGGTAAATACTGGTTATATTTCATCAGATAGATTTTTACTAAAAATATTTTATTTTGAATGAAGTTTGATCAACATTTTGCATAGGACATGGAGGATTTGAGCCTATTTCTGCTGAAAAGCACATCTTCACCTTTCTATGGTTTGCTGGACATCAAAGTGCGAGCTTTAGAGACGTTGCCGATAGATTTAATGTCTCTCTTAGTACCCTTGAATCAATATTACGGAGAGTCACACAGTTTTTATACGAAATGAGGAATGAAGTTATTCGATATCCTACTGAGGCAGAGAAGCAAAGAACTCAAAGACACTATTTCGAAAATAAAGATTTTCCAGGAGTAATTGGTAAAAATCTGAATTTTCTTCGATGATATATTTAATATAGGTTAATATTATTTGTAATCTAGTGTGTAATGTTAACTCACTTAATGTGTTTCTGTTCTGTTGCAGGATCTATTGATGGTTCACATATCCGTATCGATAAACCTTCTGAAGATCCAGTGGCCTACATCAACAGAAAGCGTTATTTTTCTGTACACATGCAGGGGACAGTTAATGAGAAGAAAAAATTTTTAGATGTGTTTGTTGGATACCCTGGCTCAGTACATGATGCAAGGGTATTTGCAAATTCTAGTTTGGCTGAAGACTTGTCAGCACTTTGTCAAGGTATAAACGCATTACATTCATCATCAGTTGCATACTGTATTATAATTATGTTTTGGTTGAATATCTTTGTTTTTCTTGTTCGATTCCGTTAAAATATGTATACTTTACTGCACACATTTAGGCTGGTGGTCCATGAACAGAAATTAACAGCGAAACGCAACAGCATGACCAATCATAACTCTGCAGCCATTACTCTGCTTTCTTTTCTGCGATTGTAATTAGTCGCGCTCCATGGGGTGCCAGCCTTACTCAATCCTCGTTGTTATTTTCGAATACAATTTCATTTCAGATGGAAGCATATTTCTTGGTGACGCTGCATATCCATGCCTGCCTCAATTAATTACTCCATATCGAGATAACGGACATTTAACGCAGGCCCAAAGAAATTTTAATCACATGCACAGCCGGTGCAGAATCTCCGTGGAGCATGGATTTGGAGAGTTGAAACAGCGCTTCAGACAATTATATTTTCTCAAACTGAGGAATATGGAATTTATTGTTAAATTTATTCTGGTTTGCTGCGTCCTTCACAATTTGGCTGACTTAGATGATTTGGAATACATGGAAGAACTCGAACCTGAAGACGAACATATTGATATAAATGCACAAGCGTTGTTACACCATCTGGGAGCAGATGAAGATCAAGATCCAATTGATGATCGACGTGGTCGCGATCTCAGAGATGAACTGTGTCGACAACTGTTTCAAAGGCAACTGAACGAGTAAAAATATATTCAAATAATCTTGTGTTTATATTTGTAATTAGTAGCGTACAATGAGGTATAAGTTTGAAATGTAAGATATAAGTTTAAGGTATAGGTTTAAGTTTTTATAAGGTATAAGGTATAAGTTTCTATAAGGTATAAGTTTTTTATAAGATATAAGTTTGTTTATTAGGTATAAGTTTTGAAATATATGAATATATGAGGTATAAGTTTTACTTTCATTTGTGGTAAGTTGTAATATCATTATTGTCAAAGAAGTTTATGCTGCTTAATATCGAAGAATGTTTATTTTATATGCAATACACAGTTTATGTTATACATGCATTTCTATTTAGGATAAAATTTTGTATTGTTAATTACTGTTGTTATCGATCGATTATTTGTAATTAGTAGCGTACAATAAGAGAAAATAAATTTCACAAAAATTTTATAAACTAATAAACATTTCAAACGAAGTCAACATTATGACTTAATATGAACACAATCAATATTTTTAAAGTATGTCTTATAATTCTTTATCTGATAATTCTTTCTGCGTCAAATAAATATTTCAAACAAAATCAACATTATCATAAACTTTATGTGAATGTAATCAATATTTTCAGTCTTATAATAATAAATATCTTATAATAATTCTTCGTCTGATAATTTTGTTTGCTTTGAGTATTTTTATTCCATTCTCTCTAGTAGCTGAAGTTGCCTTTCCAAAATATTATTTCGCTGTCTTTGTAATTCATTGCATGTTCGAAGCTCTATCAACATTTCTGTGCGTGCGTCTTGTCTGGCATTACCTTCTTTTTCAAGCATAGTACAGATTGATTCATTAACTGATTGTATAGTAAGCGCCAATTTACCATCTCGTACCTTTGTTTTTGTCTTTATGAAAGATGAACAATTGCTATTTGTCGTGAATGATTTATTGCTATTCACTGATAGAGGCGAAAGAGGCGATAGAGGCGAAAGAGGTGAATGTACTTCGACAGAAGACTCTTCTTCATTTATATTCCTATAACAAAAAACATTAACTACTACTTATCTGAAAAAATGCAGATCGAAAAAACATACATCTTAAGGAGATAATTATTATCAAGGATGAAAAGTTACTTTGTTGTTACTTTTATAAAAAATGATTTGGTAATAACTACAATTTTTTATAATGGTGACAGTAACTAATTAAAAGCTAAAGTTGGGAGTCACTTTGGAAAAGTAATTTGTCATTATTATGTGTTATTTATCGAAAAAAACTCATTTCTTCAATAAATAATGCATAATGATAAGTTATTTTTTGAAAGAGATTTTTCCAACTTTAGCTTTTAATTAGTTACCGTTACCATTATAAAATAAATTACAACATTATTACTAGATTATTTATTATCAAAGTAATGGCAAAAATAACTTCCAATCCATAACTATTACTCACCCAGATGAAGTTTGACTGACTTTTTGCAAAATCTCTTCCTGAGAAACAATTTCTTTGCGGCCAACCACAAAAGGTGGCACTCTACTGTGACTTTTTCCAAAGATGGTTATCATTTCATTGCAAGGACAAGTATATATTCCATTAATTACTCATTAAATACATAGGATACTGTGAAAATAACACAAAAGAAAAATAAAAAGACTCAGTAACTTAATTAACTGTAAATATTGAATTGAAAAATATCACATTTACAATAAAGCCTGTAATATATGATGTTTTTCTGCTAATTGTGTTCCAATAAATTATTAGAAATTCTGTGTTCTGTATAGAACAATTTTAGTAATTTACTAAACGCAAGCAATCCAGTAGAAAAAAATGTATCGTGTGCCACAGCCTTTAGATACAGAAAATAGAAAATGAACTAAAAACTTACTTTTCATATAAAAGAGGTTTCATGCCTTTCCCAGAGCTATTTTTTCCCATAGTCCTTTGAATGTATTTATCCCATTTTTTCTTCAACAATTTAAATTTATTTTTTATGTGATGTTTAGTAGCATTTACGTAACCTCTTTTTTGAAATGACTTTGCTATTGCTTGAAACATGGTCTCTTTACTTGGATACTTCCTTTTCTGCAGCTTTTTCTCATGCTGTTCATATTCTGTGAAAAACAACATTGTAATTTTATAATCCCAAATAAAACGGCCATCCTTGTCGAAAACAGAAGTATTCTCTTTGTCATCATCTGAATCTATAATCGAAGAATCCAATGGTACACTTCTAAGGTTATGTGTCGAGCCTGTTGTGGGAGTTACAACAGAAGAAGAGGCAAGAGTTTGGGGCTTAATTGCAGACATATGCTGCATAGAGCTTGTTGTAGGAACTGTAATGGAAGGACTCTCATGAGTTACAGTTTGAGTCTGGATTTTGAAAGAACTTGACTTATTCAGTAATGAATCCAATGGTACACTTCTAAAGTTATGTGTTGAGCCTGTTGTGGGAGTTACAACAGAAGAAGAGGCAAGAGGTTGAGGCTTAATTAGCTTAAATGATATCGTTTTGGGCATTATTTGCATAGATGAAATCTTTGGAATTGCGGAACTTGTTGAAGAACTAGCATTTGGATGTGCCATTTTCTGATCAGATTCTTTTGCTGCAGATTATATACTATAACAAAAAGATCAATAATATTGATATAGTACAGCATTCATTATTATTATACAATTATTATTATATTATATTAATAATAATTATTATTCTTATACAATTATTTAATTACATAATAAAAATTTAACTAAAGTACTATGAGGGTAAAGCTGGTTCTACAATGAGGTAGTCGATAGTCCTAAGTCTTATTAGTGAATCGATGGAATTGGCAAACAGCCAACTTGTACGACGACTACCGATTTTCTTAAGACTGACTAAAATCGACTTTATTCCTTACCATTAATCGAGCTAAACGACTCGCTGTACAATTAACTAGTGCAAAAAATCATGATCATCTGTTTAGGTTAAAACTGGTTAAGGCTTAAGATTTCCGACTACTGACTCATTGTAGAATCAGTATTATTATAGTTCAAGAATTTTGTCTTCCTCACCGATTTTGAAATTAAGCTGCGTTTTTCACCAAACGTAAGAAAAAAAGCGTTGCTCTTCTTGCTTCATTCTCGTTAAAGTTACATCATAGAACCATAAATACTCTCAACACTACACATTCTCAATCATTACGCATGCGTGCGTAACATACCCCAACCACACCACCTTCTGAGGTGAGGCAAATGGAGCGTGAAGGCTGCGGTCCACTTAGCGCTTCAAACGCTACAGAGCATTTGTAGCACTGATATGACTGGTCCATTTGATGCTTTGGAACGCTCCCAGCAACTCTGATTACGTCATCAATACGTCATCGTTTTTGCTCCCACTTCGCTTCAACTGCCTCACCTCGGGAGGTGGGTTGGCTGGAGCGTTCACGTAGCAATTGTAGCATTCGAAATAGTAATGGACCAATCGGAGCGTAGCGTTTGGAGCGTAACGTTAAGAGCATTTGAAAGGAGCAAGTGGACCGCAGCCAATTGATCCATGGAGTATGCTCTAACGCGACGCAAACATCTAGTCGCCATATTGGTTCCGGTGAAGCGAACGTATTGGAGCGCGTTGGAATGAAAAGGAGCATATTGGAGCGTGCGACGCGAACAAACCTACTATGTCTTTAGGTGCTATCCGATATTCATTGCCAGTAAAAATCTATAGCACACATAACGTATACTGTATAGTTTTAGCACTGGCAGTGAATTTCGGAACGCACCCTTAAGGTGCCTTTTTATGCTGACGCTCGACACTCATTTTCAGCGTCAAAATATGTCACGTGATCAAAATTGACGCTTGATATTCGTCAATTTCTATCATGTGATTTATTTTGACGCCGAAAATGAGCGTCGAGCATCGGCATGAAAAGGTACCTTTAGTACGATGCTAAAAATCGGTCTGAGACCTCGGTTGAAGAAAGAATTGACCAATCACAATGTATATACTTACGTTTCCTTTTTTACTTCCATTTCGAAACTAATTTCTATTATTATAAATATACAATTATATAAATAGTATTAAATAGTATTGGTAACGAACAAATTCTCGATCATTTTCTTTATCAATTTTCGCAATCGAAACAATAATTTCTAAAACATCAAATATCCTCCTTCGATGGCTTTGTGCGCGGGGAGTGGAGTCTAGCAAGCGTCCCGCACCCTGCACACCGTCGTGAACCTTCAAATCTAGAGTCCTAGAAACCAGAGATGCGACATGCGTCAATTGGGTTAGGTCGTCATCGCCATTTTAATTCAGTATAAGTACTTTTAACCATAAGGTGCCTTTTCATGCTGATGCTCGACGCTCATTTTCAGCGTCAAAATAAATCACACTGGGTGCTTATATCGAGCGTCAAATTTAATATTGAGTGCTTTGCAATTGATGATACAAGTCGACACAAGCGTCGTTCTATCCTTGTTGACATTCATTTGCAAAAACGGAAATTTTGTGAATTAAAGAGACCCAGATAGCAAGTTTCCCGCATGTTGCTATAAATTTTATACAAATTACGTCGCCTGAGTTGCTATCTTTCTTGAAGAAAGCGGCTTCCGATTTTGCTTATGATATTGGCGGCGATAAGTATCATAAACGGTTATGCACAACCGGAGGGAAACAATTTCCCTCTTCTTTTTCATGACTTTTATAGGTTAGGACAATCATACGGCAACATGATGGAAACTAGTTCTACATAAAACAAATTTGCTAGCAATTTGACAACAATATAAAAGAAACTGTTGTAGTAAAAAGGATTAACCTAGGGGTCTCTTTCACCAGCCTCGGTTAAGTCTAAAGCTGGAAACACAATAGACACAGGCAATAGGCACAGGCAACAGGGAATAACGAGCCGTCCAACCAGAGCTCTGGGACATAATATCGAACTTATACTCCAAAGCTCTGATTGGATGGCTCGTTATTCCCTGTTGCTTGTGCCTATTTCCTGTGCCTATTGTGTTTCCAGCTTCACCGACCGTTCGATGATTGCCAACTTGAGAACTATAAACTGTAGACGTATTTCGCTGTCAGATCTTAACCTCTTCCTTTGGTGCCGTCAATATTGTGCCTTGTGTTCTGTATCCGAAATTGCTTAAAAGTTCTTAAAATTCTTAATAAGATACTAAAGTATAAACAGAAACATGCAAAGAGAAAGAATTTTATTCAAAAGGAAAAAAGTTATTTATTGGATTTAATTTTTATGTACCGTAACGTAATAGAAAGTAAAATAACTGATCATTTCAATAATTTACACAAAGATAAAGCATGGGCTAGCATTACGCAGAAATATAATAAAAATACAGAAAGTAAACGAACAGAAAAAAATTTGTGTTACTGTTGAGAGAATATTAAAAAAGGTACGAGGAAGTAGTGTGCCGCTTGGAAGCGCGAAATGTATAAGACAGGTAATAAATTTGTTATTGATATTTATAAATAAAATTGTTATTTAAAGTTTTTTTATTACATTTGTAGGTGGAGGAGTAGTAAATATAGAAAAAAATACTTTGTATGAGCGAGCTAAAGAAACCATGGGTGAAACTGTTAGCCAAGGATTGCTAAATTCTTTTGATTCTGATTGCATTGATGAAAATGTTTATAACAAAGAAAATATTGTTTACATTTTGGAGGAAGATAATGAAAATGATCCAGTGGTATTTTCAGTAAGAGATAATGAAAATGATTCTGCGGTATTTTCAGTAAGATGTTTACTTATTTAAAAATGCAAATTTTACAAAAATTTCATATACTTTGAATTTTCAATTATACCAGGGGTATATTTTGTGGGTTATCATCTTGTTGCCGTTCATTCTTGAAGCCAAACGCGCAAAACTCCTGGTATAATTGAAAATTCAAAGTATATGAAATTTTTGTAAAGTTTGCATGTTTACATATCTTGCTAAAAATACCGCTGAATCATTTTCATTATCTCCTACTGAAAATACCACTGGATCATTTTCGTTATTTTCCTCCAAAGTATGAACAATATTTTGTTTGTTATGAATATTTTCATCAATGCAATCAGAATCAAAAGGATTTAGCAATCCTTGGCTAGCAGTTTCATCCGTGATTTCTTTGGCACGCTCATACAAAGTATTTTTTTCTATATTTACTACTCCTCCACCTACAAATGTAATAAAAAAACTTTAAATAACAATTTTATTTATAAATATCAATAACAAATTTATTACCTGTCTTATACATTTCGCGTTTCCAAGCGGCACACTACTTCCTCGTACCTTTTTTAATATTGTCTCAACAGTAACACAAATTTTTTTCTGTTCGTTTACTTTCTGTATTTTTATTATATTTCTGCGTAATGCTAGCCCATGCTTTATCTTTGTGTAAATTATTGAAATGATCAGTTATTTTACTTTCTATTACGTTACGGTACATAAAAATTAAATCCAATAAATAACTTTTTTCCTTTTAAGTAAAATTCTTTTCTCTTTGCATGTTTCTGTGTATATTTTAGTATCTTATTAAGAATTTGAAGAACTTTTAAGCAATTTCGGATACAGAGCACAAGGCACAATATTTACGGCATCAAAGAAAGAGATCTGACAGAGCGAAACACACGTCTATAGTTTATAGTCCTCGGCCCGTATTCAGAACGCGCTTACAATGATGTTAGCACGCTAACATACTATATTTTACGTCACGTATATTATAGAATTTCAGAGATAAAAGTGCGCTTTTATCGATAAAAGCGCGTTCTGAATACGGGCCCTCAAGTTGACAATCATGTAACGGTCGGTTATAGCGTTTTCGATTGGGCAAAAGTTAGTGCGCACCAGTGCGCACTCAGTTCACCAACACTGGACGAGTTCCATGGGTTGCACTGAATAGTGCAAGTTCAAAAGAATACGCCAAGATTTTCAGTGCTAAAGCTGAAACTCATTTTTGTTCACTTTGAAGCAATGTTCAACAAAATGTTACAAAACCACAGTAAAAGATATTAAGAGTAAGGACAAGACCCCGTTTTCAATTCAACTGCGCAGATTTGCTTGTCCCTATGTATATCCTTAACTGTGATAAAACGTGCACTGAACTGGCACCGTCAAAATATCTCGTGCCACTTAGTGTGCACTACGCGAGTGTCGTGCGATCAAATGAACACGTGACACTAGCCAAGTGCTCATTGGCACTGCCAATCGAACACGCTCTTGACACTGAGTGCAGCCAGTGCACCCCAATCGAAAATGCTATTAGACATTAACCGAGGTTGGTGAAAGAGACCCTATGGCCGGTATTTATAGTCAATCCTTATTTCAAAAACATCTTAAATAATGTCTTAAGACGCTAATGCGGCCCTCTGATTGGTTCGTGACAACTTAAGACTGAGCTGAAGAAGATCTTGAATATAAGAATTGACTATGAATACCGGCCTATAACAATGCTTTTCTGTTTAAAATGCTCCATTTCCGTTCGATTGACAAAAATATGGACTAAATATTTTATAAAAACGATTTTCAACAGATTGTAGCAACATTTATGGGAATAAGTTTGTTACATTTCCGCTCATTTGCGCAAACAACCGTTGTCCGCATAATGCCTCTAGGTTGACCTAAATTAGATTATTATTGCTCTGATGACAGCAACATGTTGGCAATTGAAGAGAAACTTGTGCTAGACACCGATCTCTTTTTTTATGCCAAGGAACGTTTTATTATCTGGGGGG